GGTGCTCCAGGCACTACAGTGGACCTTGTCTCGGAGGCTTGTACCCACCCAAGGGGCCAGGGTGAACAGACTCAAGGCATGACATGCAGCCGTGTTTAACTTCCCCCCAGTCCCCGCTTCTCCCAGCCCTTGCCTCCCCACAGCCTCCCTTGTCAAGGTCCCAGTTGCAGCTCAGATCTCTCCCCTGGGACTGTGGGCTGTGTCCTGCAGGCCACACGAAGCCACGGCTGCAAAGGGAGGTGACAGAAGGTGCCTCACTATTCGGCACCCCTCACCCCCAGGCCCCAGCTCCTGCTTGGGCTTCTCCCATAATACACTCTCAGGGCTCGGTGTGGTCTGTGTCCCCGGGGAAGCCTGCTGGCTTCATGCACCTCTGAGCACAGAGACAGCCCCTTGCCTGCCGGCTATGGTTCCTCATACCCAGTGGCCTTTCCCGCCTGAGGCTCCAGGCTCAAGGCTGGGACACGTGAGATGTCCTGCGAGCCCAGAACCCCGGGCTGCCTGAGTGATCTGCCCCCTCCCCACCGCACAGAGACTACGGCCACCTGGATTCCAGCAGAGGGGTCTCTGGAGGGACCTGGTCTCTCCAGGCCTCAACTTCCCAACCTTTAAGACACAGACAGTCTTCCCTTCCCTTGAAACCATAGAACTTTAGAGTTGGAAGGAACCTTAAAATCCTCCTACCCATACTCCTTTGTTTACCAAAGAAAAATCTGAGAAACAGAGAGACAGGAAAGTCGTATAACACCACACAGCATTTCCACAGCTGCAGCAAAATGACTTCCCCCTCCAGCACGGTTTTCAAGCTTTAGTGAGTGTGCACTGCAAGCCCCTTTCAGGGGCTGGGGGTGGGAGGAATTAAAATGCAGATCCCCGGGCCTCACCCCCCAGGCACACATCCAGTAGGTCTGGGGGCCCAGGAATCTGCATGTCAAACAAGCTCCCTAGGTGATTAGCACACAGGTTTCTCATCACCCGTGTGTTTTCATTGCCTACCCACCTCACTGGGCTGCTGTAATGGGAAGGCAATGGGAGGGGCTGGAGGGCTTTTTAAAGATCACTGTCTGCTGAGAAGGTGCTCATGCTTCCCTGTCTCCCCACACCTTCCCCATCTCTCCCTCTCTATCCTGCTGGTCACTTGAGCGATTTCCCAGGTCTCTTGCTTCCAGGTCTGGAGCCCTTCTACTGAAAGAGGGATGGTCACCGTTCCCTTGATGGTATACTGTCCCACTTGGCCCAGGACCTACTGTCTACTGGGAGAACCACCAGACCACGTGCAGAATCTGGGGCTGGAAGGTCAGCTGTCACCCATGAGAGTCGGGGATGGTAGGACAGTGCTGGGGCTATTCTCACCCTCCAGAAAGCATCAGGAGTGGGGTCGGACGCTCCTGAGTGCAAGCTCTTCTCAGTCACTAACGATGTGACCTTTGCATCTCGTTTGCTTCCTGTTGGGGAAGTTGTGGGTGAAGGTACTTGCCAGGCGCAGGTATTGTATTAAAAGAGACGGCACTTATAAACCACAAACCACCGCCATAAGGTAGGGCCACTGGGCAAAACACAGGACGGCCAGTGACGTGAATTTCAGAAGAACAGCAAGTAATCCTGTGTGTGAGAATATCCCAACATGGCACGGGACACACTGATACTTATGCCGCGTTCACCTGAAATTCAGAGTGAATTAGGCATCCTGGAGTTTTGCTTGTTTGTTTTCTTGTTTGGGGTTGGTTTGCTTGTTTGCTGTTGCTAAGGCGGCCAGTGGGCATTCTGGCAGGCGTCCCCTTGTTCTCTTCCTTCAGATCCAGCACCGGCAGGCCGGCTCCGCCTGAGTCCTCAGACCCAGATGCCTCCGTGCCCCGCTTCCCCATCGAGCCCTGAGGAGCCTGCACAGAGGGGACCGGCTGCCCCCGACGGGTGGCTGAGCGCTCCCATCAGCAAGGAGGCTCACTGGCAGACGATCACATTTTTTTTACCGGTACGCGGGCCTCTCACTGTTGTGGCCTCTCCCGTTGCGGAGCGCAGGCTCCGGGCGCGCAGGCCCAGTGGCCATTGCTCACGGGTCCAGCCGCTCCACAGCATGTGGGATCTTCCCGCACCGGGGCACGAACCCGTGTCCCCTGCATCGGCAGGCGGACTCTCAACCACTGCGCCACCAGGGAAGCCCCGGTCACATTTTTTGTGCTGTCAGGGCTAGTCAAGGTCACTTGCTCAAGGTCACTTGTTCAATTCGCTTCTCTGGGGGAGGAGGGACAGGGGAAGTGAAGGAAAGACAATGAGGATGGGTCCCCTCTGCTCCTTCCTCTGAATTCCCTCCCCTGGGTGCCTGCCTAGAAAGCCTTGGAGCTTGTGCCCCATGGTGCCTGGCTTTCCTTGGTGGGAAGTGGGTAGTCAGCGTGGCCAGGGGCAGGTGCGGAGGAGCCAGGAGGCCCTGGTGCACTCCCAGCTGCTTCTAACTCTCTGTGTGACCTTGGGCAAGTCACTCGCATCACCCCTCTGGGCCTTCCAGAGAAAGCGGGGTAATAGTAACAGCACTAATGCTTATTAGGACATACTGTGTGTCAGGCACTGCTCTAAGTACTTTATAGAGAATACCCTTTCAATCCTCCCAACTAGTAAGAAGTAGAGGCAGGATTTGAACTAAGCAGCTCTGTGCCAGAGTCTGGGCACTTGGCCCCCTTGCCTGCTGCACCTGTGAAAATATGAGAGGCCCAAATGCAGGAGGAGGAGGGAAGGGGGTGACTGACACCTAGCAATCACCTAGATCATCTACTCCTTGCTAAGATTACCACACCCTCGACAGAGATGACTTCGCACAACCCTCGCCGCAAACATGCTGTGGGATTTTGATCTTCAGTCTGAAGTCAGAGGCAGGGAAACGGAGGCACAAAGAAGGTCAGGGACTTGTCTAGGGTCATAATCTGAGTCTACATGGGAGCTCAGCTCTCCCACGTCAAGGCCTGGGCTAGGTGCTTCACAACCGCCCCACTTCCGGTTCACAGAGCTCGGGACACTGCTCTGGCCACAGAACATGGGCAGTGAGGTCAGAGCTGCTCTCAGTGCTTCACCCCAGGAGATGCCAGAAGCCCCCATGCTGCCATGCTGCTGTCTCCATCCTCTCCCCGCCTGAATGAGACCAACTCTTCCCCAGGGCCTGGACACTGTTCCTTGCTCTGGACCTGTCCATCCTTACCCCCAGCCACACATCCTCATGTGGTGGCTCTTCGCTTTCCTGCATTACAGACAGTAGGAAGGATAACATTTTATATTCTTTGCTCTTTAATTTACCCACTTTATCTTGACAATCACTGGTCAGATGGATTGGTCAGCACCACTGTGTCCCAATTTCACACAGGAGGAAGAGGAGGTTCAAAGAACTTTCCCAGAGTCACCCAGTTTTTAAGCCAGGACTCCAGTGTATACCTTCCAATCCAGGGCTCTGTAGAGGCCTCAGAGGGCAACCAAAGTACTGTAAAGATGACGAAACCGAAGCCCAGACAGGATACCTGTCCTGGTCAAGGTCACAGCCAGCCACGGCACAACTGAGACTGAAATCCACAGCTCCTGACCCGTCACCCCTAGCCCTCGAGTGAATGATGGTGGGAGCCAATGACAGCACCTCAACTGACAGCTGGGGTTCATGATGACAACTCTACCAAGAAGCAAAGGCAGATGCCATCAGAACCAAGGGGAACCGCTGTTCAACAGTGAGGTCTGCATCTGGACCTTCCTGTCTTCTGGTGGGGAGGGTCTGGGGAGTGAGTGAAGGCCAAGTTTAAAGTTAGGCGACTCTGTACCTTGCAGGTCAGATCTTTTTAGGACTTGCTCATGTGGGAGAGCCAGCCTGGGCTTAAAGTTCCAGCTCAGGGGCCCGTGTCTGCAGAGAAGTGACGGCCCCTAATACCTGGGATTTGTGCTTAGTGACGGTACAGAATGAATAAGCGAGCACAGGAATTCCGGACACAGATGAGCAGCATTTTTGAATTCTCAATAAATGGAAAAAATATATATTTACCCATGATAAATCCACATCTATGTCACCTTTTATACTGTGGGTCTTTCAGCTCTGGTTCCTGTTCTGACAAACCCTCGGGGTCAAGGTGGGAGGTGGAGTCTGGCTCTGAGAGGTCACTGCTCACATGCTCACCAGTGGAAGCCTGGAATCCACTGAAAATAAGGGCATTTCACCCGCTCCCTGTCATGGGGCTCATTCTTATGGATGCTGGGGTCCCCTCTCCTCGGCTCTGCCTTTGCTTCCTTCTCACTGGCCTTCACAGGCTCTCTTACCTGCTGTGCCCTTATGTTCCTGTCTGCCAGGTGGGGACGTATGTCCATGTCACTGCCAGAAAAGTGCATGAGGCAAGCAAAGCGTGCCCCAGCCCACAAGACTTTGTTCAGCAATTTCACGTCTGGGCTGAAAAGCTACTGAACGGCCAATCTTTACTGCATTACTGGCTCTTAGCAAGCTGCTGCTTTTCCTCACCAGGAATATTCCTCACTCCTTTTAGACAGAAGAGCAAACTGGGAGCTGAGAAACGAAGACCTACTCAGGTTACAGAAGCCCTTGGAGAGCTCTTAGAACTGGCGGGCTCCCTCTCCATGTTCAGTGTAGTGAGATGGGTGCTGAAATGCTACCCGCGGAGTAGGGTGTCTTCCACTTAGGAGGGGCCCAGAAATAACCCACACCCACCAGTACTAGGACCCAAAGCCCCACAGGATGATCTCGGAAATCCAGGTCCCAAACACTACTGGAGAAACAGGGGGGAAAGCAGGGCAACCAGGCCCAGAATCTCCAGAGAATCCCAGATGTGTCCCTCCCCACTCCCCTTCCCTAGCAGAGTCCCAGGAAAAGTTCTGGGAACCTGGGAGGGTTACACCGGGAGCAACTCTCATCCAGGACAGTGGCCGTGGGCGCCCAAGCCTCCCCTTCCAGGCTCAACGCGCCTAGGCTCTCCCCGCGCTCTGCCTCACTCCTTCCCGCCTCCCGGTCCGGCCGGCAGGCTCACCTTTGGGCAGCTTGGACACGTTCTCCTGGATCCAGGAGAAGAGGTGGGCGAAGTCGCAGTCGCAGAGCCAGGGGTTCCCGTCCAGGCGCAGGGTGCGCAGCGCAGGCAGCGCGGCCAGGGCGGCCACGTTGAGGCTGCGCAGGTTGTTGTCGTTGAGCTCCAGCACCTGCAGCGACTCCAGGGTTTCGAAGGCGGCCTCGTGCACGCCCGCCAGGTTGTTGTTGGCCAGGCTCAGCTTGACCAGCCTCCCGGCCGAGCGGAAGGCGCCGGCGCCCAGCTGGGTCAGGTTGTTGTAGCTGAGGTCGAGGAAGGCGAGCTTGGCCGAGCCGCTGAACGTGCCCTCCTCCAGAGAGCGCAGAGAGTTGTTCCTGAAGTCCAGGTAGACCAGGTCGCCGTAGAAGATGAAGAAGCCCTCGGGGATGTGCTGGATGCGGTTACCGGCCACCAGAAGCTTGCGCACGTCCAGGGGGAAGGGGTCGGGCACGCTGGGCAGCCCGCGGTCGCGGCAGTCCACGGTGTGCGGATCGGTGCAGGCGCAGCCCGCGGGGCACGCGGGTCCTGGCGGGAGCAGCAGCAGGAGGCTGCAGAGCCCCAGCGCGGCGCCGGCGCCGGCGCCGGCGGGGGCGCGGGGCGCGGCGCGGGGGCGCATAGCCGGGACCCGCGCGAGCGTCGCCGCCGCTCGCG